AACATGAAGCAGATTATTATTGTAGATCACACAGGGAGAACAAAGGGTAAAATATTTAACTGCAGTAGTGTTTGACTATATTCTGCACAGTGAGAAAACCTGAAGTCATTTTCAAGGTCCACCAGTTCTTACTTCTTTTAAGTCGGGTCGAGTTTCTAAGCTTTCTAAATCTCCTATCTATCTACTCCAGGACTTCTGTGAGGATCAAATGAGATGAGTCACTGCAAAATGCTTCACATACATTTGGTTAAAGTGTGAAACGTTTCCACCTGGTTAAAAAACCTGGGCTGAAGGAACTGCAAGGAGGCTAGTCCTCGCTAGGGAGAGGAAGCCAGGCATTGCTAAGTGATGTCATTACCTGGAAGAACACTTAGCATATTAGCCTTTATATATATAGATATCAAAAATTAATTTACTGGCGCTCTTCTATATGACTATGATACTACTGACACACAGGCAGCTGAGAATCTGTTTTGAATTATTTGTATATAAATTGTAAGTGCAAACTGTAGGCTGACAAGCATTTTCTTCACTAGTTTCCTTTGAGAATAAAAACACATGTTCACAGGTCGGCTGCCTAGGATCAGTGGTGCAGCCTGCTTACAGGGAACAGGGTCTGGCAGGCATTTGTTTGGCCTGAACCTCATTAGTTTTATGCCTAGCAAATTTAGCCAATCCAAAAGCACACTCTATGTAACAGTTACCTTGTGAAGTGCTCTGCAATAGAGGGAGGGAGGCAGGGAGTGAGGCAGAGAGGGAGGTAGGTAGGGAGGGAGAGATGGAGGGAGAAAGAGGGAGGGAGGAGTCTGTGGTTAAATAAGCCCGAGAAACACTACATAATCCTATAAAATGTACCCCCTCTTAAAGACTTCTAGTTCACATTAGCATATTAAATCTTGGATACTTCTATATATTAACTACATATAACTAGTGTTTTTCCTTATTTGTTGGCATAAATGCCCCAACCCCAACAAACATACACATCTACCACCTTGCTTTCTCTCAATACCCCATAATAATAGTGCACAGCATACTTTTGATGGTCCCTGCCAACTGATCTCCTGAAGACGTGAAACGATTAGTTTGGCTTCTCTAGAAATCTTATCTTTAAACTTCCAGAACTGAAGCACTAGAAGGTTTGCCTCAGGCCCTTGGCAATAAGGAGAGACAAAGAGAATAAATTATGGAAGCTATTAATCAAATACCCCTGTTTTCAAGTCAGGCAATTAACATTACTTCAGTCTTGGTAGCTTAGTTATATTTGTGTTTTTAATTTAAAACTGAATATACAGTGACTTTCAAGTAGTTGGGCAGACTTCACAATTGTCAGCACAATAAAATAGCATCAGGAGATTACACTATAACAGCTTTGGAAGTAGACACTACATCCTGGCATTGTTTATGTCAGACAAGTAGAAAATGATGTTGTTTGCACTCACTTCACTGTCAGTGTGTTTCCATGGAAATGGGAGGGAAATTCACATTTGGAAAAGCTTCACAAAGTCGGTGGCCCCAATAATAACTTAGGTCCTGTGGTGTCTGTTGCAGGGCACGGAGAATGTGAAGCAGGCAGATGCCAGTGCTTCAGCGGCTGGGAAGGAGATCGGTGCCAGTGCCCATCAACATCAGCCCAGCACTGCGTCAATCCAAAGGGCCAAGTGTGCAGTGGAAGAGGCACGTGTGTATGTGGCAGGTGCGAGTGCACTGATCCCAGAAGCTTCGGCCGCTTCTGTGAACACTGCCCCACGTGTCACACAGGCTGCAATGAAAACTGGTATGTGTTCTCTGACTCCAAACATGCATAAAGCAGTACTCCATTACAGCTATGCTTGTCCTTTTTAATTCTGCCTTTCATAACCCTAGAAGTGCTGCATCTTCTCCTCCAAATTAATTACCATCATGCTAAAAGAGAACTGAGTGGGGGATTTGGGAATTTTAAGACTTATATTCCAATTTTTGGCCACTAGATAGCTGTGGAGTATCAGAATTTAACAAGGCATTCACTGCCTTCAACTTTGATAATAAGGTGGGGTTTTTTAATAATAATATTCAGTATTTATAACAGTTCATTGGTTTTCCTCCCAGCTTTTTAGATATATAATTGGCATATAACCTTATGCAAGTTTAAGGTTTATAATGTGATGACTTAGGAGTTGCTTGCTTCCCAGCTTACTATTAATTAGCTGTTTGATCTAGGGCAAGTTGTTGAAATTCTCTGTGAATTTTCTGAGGATAGCCTCTGTCAATATTCCTGATATCAGAAATGAGGATAATAATAATACCTTGCTAGAGTTCTATGAAAGAATTAAATTAGATGATTCATATAAAAAAATCTTTGTACTTATACACAGTAATCATAGAAAAATGTTAGATAGTATTATAGAACTAGAGGCCCGGTGCACAAAAATTTGTGCACTCGGGGTGGGAGAGGGGGGTCCGTCAGCCCGGCCAGTGCCCGCTCGCAGTCAGGGACCCCTTGGAAGATAACAACCTGCTGGCTTAGGCCTGCTCCCAGGTGGCAGAGGGCAGGCTAAATCCCCAGGTGCAGCCCCTGGTCAGGATCAGAGCAGGGCTGATTGGGGAGTTGGGGCGCTGCCCCCTGTCATGCACAGAGCAGGGCGGATCGGGAGGTTGCGATGCCACCCTCAGTCACGCTCAGGGTAGGGCCGATTGGGGGTTTGGGGCCCCGCCCCCTGTCACACACAGAGCCGCAGGGTGATCAGGGGGTTTGGGCGCTGCCCCCTGTCATGCACAGAGCAGGGCGGATCGGGAGGTTGCGATGCCACCCTCAGTCACGCTCAGGGTAGGGCCGATTGGGGGTTTGGGGCCCCGCCCCCTGTCACACACAGAGCCGCAGGGTGATCAGGGGGTTTGGGCGCTGCCCCCTGTCATGCACAGAGCAGGGCGGATCGGGAGGTTGCGATGCCACCCTCAGTCACGCTCAGGGTAGGGCCGATTGGGGGTTTGGGGCCCCGCCCCCTGTCACACACAGAGCCGCAGGGTGATCAGGGGGTTTGGGCGCTGCCCCCTGTCATGCACAGAGCAGGGCGGATCGGGAGGTTGCGATGCCACCCTCAGTCACGCTCAGGGTAGGGCCGATTGGGGGTTTGGGGCCCCGCCCCCTGTCACACACAGAGCCGCAGGGTGATCAGGGGGTTTGGGCGCTGCCCCCTGTCATGCACAGAGCAGGGCGGATCGGGAGGTTGCGATGCCACCCTCAGTCACGCTCAGGGTAGGGCCGATTGGGGGTTTGGGGCCCCGCCCCCTGTCACACACAGAGCCGCAGGGTGATCAGGGGGTTTGGGCGCTGCCCCCTGTCACGCTGATCCCGGTGCCGGGAGGGCTCGCGCCTCCGCTGGTCTCGGTGCTGGGAGGGATATTACCCTTTTACTATATAGGATAGAGGCCTGGTGCACGGGGCAGGGCCGGCTGGTTTGCCCTGAAGGGTGTCCTGGATCAGGGTGGGGGTCCCGCTTGGGTGCCTGGCCAGCCTGGGTGAGGGGCTGATGGCTGTTTGCAGCTGGTCACACCCCCTTCAGGGTGGGGGTCCCCACTGGGGTGCCTGGCCAGTCTGGGTGAGGGGCTGAGGGCTGTATTCAGGCTGGCGGGGGACTGAAGCTCCCAACCGCTCCTTTTTTTCTTTTCTTTTTTTATTCTGGGCCAGCTTTAGCTCTGAGGCTTGGCCCCAGCCCTGAGGCCTCGGCTGCTGAAAGCAGGTATCTGGTTTGTTTGCGTTCTATAATCGAAACACTGTTTCAACTCCAGCTCTGAGGCCCGGCTGGCTGAAAGCTGGTTTCTGGGGTTTTGGTTAGCTTCTATATTTGTAACAATGTTTCAAACTGCAAGCTCAGAGGCTGGCAGCGGCAGGCAGAGAACGTTGGCTTCCTCTGTCACTGAAGCAAGCAAGCTTCATGTTCGCTTCAAGCTGCCTGGCTGCCGGCCGCCATCTTGGCTCGCAGTTAATTTGCATATCACCCTGATTAGCCAATGGGAAGGGTAGCGGAGGTATGGCTAATTACCATGTTTCTCTTTTATTAGATAGGATGATGGTGGTTATGAAGCACTAAAGAAATAAATGATGGATAAATGAAAGGTGATATGTTAAATAAAGATAGCATTATTGTTTTGTGCCAATAATTAATTTCCCAATAACAGTTTGAGCCCTGTTCAAACAAAAGCCACTACTCTAAACATCACTGTGCCGTCCAATTTGTTTTATTCAAATTTTTATAACCTCCACTTTCTTGGATTAATAGCACAAGTAAAATTTTTTAAAGAATGCATAGCAAATTATGTCTCTCTCTTAGAAATGCATTTCCTAAACATAATGATGGAATTAATTCTAAAGAACTAAACAAAAATTTGAACTGTGTATTTATTGCTAAACTTTTCTATTGGTGTCTAATATTCATCTTCTAAAACATCTATGCTAGTTTGTGTGTGTGTATGTGTGTGTGTGTTAAGAGTATTCATTTCCTATAGATTTTCTTCTCAAGATGGAAAAGTCATTTTATAAATATTTTTCAATTACATTTTACATTTAATATTGTTTTGTATTGGTTTCAGGTCTACAACATAGTGGTTAGACAATCATATACTTTACAAAATGTTCCTCCCTGATATTTCCAGCACCTACCTGGCACCATACAGTTATTATAATATTATTAACTACAACCCTAGGCTGTATTTTATATCCCCATTAACTATTTTGTTATGACCAATTTTTACTTCTTAACCCCTTCATTTTTTTTACCTAGTCCCTAAACTCCTCTCCTCTCTGGCAACTATCAGTCTGTTCTCTGTATCCATGGGTCTGCTTCTATTTTGTTTGTTCATTTGTTTTGTTCTTTAGATCCCACATATAAGGGAAATCATATGGTATTTGTCTTTCTCTGACCAATTTATTTCACTTAGCATAATACCCTCTAGGTCAGAAATCTGTTGTATTTTTATACCAATAATGAACTGTCAGAAAGGGAAACTAAAAAAAGCCCCATTTACAATTGCATCAAAAAATAAAATAAAATACCTAGGGATAAATTTAACCAAGAAGATAAAAGACCTGTACTAAGAAAATTGTAAGACACTCCAGAAAGAAACTGAATAAGATACAAATAAATGGAAGCATATACCCTGCTCATGGATAGGAAGAATTAACATCATTAAAATGTCCGTATTACCCAAAGAAATCTACAGATGCAATGTGATTCCTATCAAAATACCAAAGTTCATTTTTCACAGAACAAGAACAAATAATCTAAAAGTTTATATGAAACCACAAAAGATCCCAAGTTGCCACAGCAATCTTGAGAAAGAAGTACAAGTTTGGAGGTATCATGCTACCTGATATCAAACTATTATACAAGGCTATAGTAATCAAAACATCATGGTATTGACATAAAAACAGACACACAGAACAATGGAACAGAATAAAGAGCCCAAAAATAAACCCACACTTATATGGTCAATTAATATATGACAAAGGAGGCAAGAGCATACAATGAAGTAAATACAGTCTACTCAATAAATGGTGCTGGGAAAATTGGACAGATACATGCAAAAAAATGAAACTAGGCCACCTTCTCACACCATATACAAGAATAAGCACAAAATGGATTAAAGGCTTAAATGTAGGATTTGAAACCCTAAAAATCCTAGAAGAAAAAATAGGCAGAAAAATCATTATTTTGATTTTATACATTATTAAACTATTTTAAGTGGTTAGAAAGTAACTTTGCCATGGTATTAAATTCAGCCAAAATTACAAATAAGTGTCATAGCTTTCTTTCCCAGTTTTACAAGACTGCTGTCCTAAAGCAGTATTCTAATTTATTTCTTGTAGAAAATACTACAGGCTACCACCTTTTAAAGTTTATATGTTTCCATTTCTGTTTCCCCTTACAGGAATTGTGTGCAATGCCTGCACCCCCACAATCTGTCTCAAGCTATACTTGACCGGTGTAAATCCTCATGTGCTTTCATGCAACAGCATTATGTGGACCAAACATCAGGTAAGTCAAAGCTTAGTAAGCAAAGCACCGAGAAAGTATCAAATCATGTTCCCCAAAAGGGTCCATAGCAACCATCCTAAAGAATGGACTAACTGCTTCAATGTTTTCAATATCTCAGAGATGGTACTCAATAAAATTAGCTGAGTGTGTCTGCCACGGTTGGCTGAACTGTTAGATCCCCCTTCTTAACTACCCAGGTAAGTTCCCATGCTGTGCATCTCCATGGAAGTACACCGAACATATTTTCTAGAGAGGCCTCAGTGAACCAAGGAATTTCCTATGTGGAGTCAATTTCACCCTTAGAGACAATATCTATGGAGCCATAATTATTTTTCATAAACCAAACTTGCTTCCAGTTATAACCTTCCTCGTGTCAAACCAACATTTTCATGTTTCGGGTGAAGCCAAAATATTCAAAGTAGCAATGATCTGCTTTTGTAAAGTGCGTAAGTTCAAAAGGGCTATTCCTTCCTGATACTTTTCATTATGATATAAATAAAAGTTAGCGTGAATGATTATAAAGGTGACACAATGGAAAGGGTATGGAACTTTTAGTCTGAAGACCTTGGCTTAAGCTATGTCCTTTGACATAGTAGTTAAGAAATATCAGTGTCTTACAATATTTCCCTGTGCCTTAGTTTTTTTCATCTGTAAAATGGAGATAGTAATACCAATCTCAGAGTAGTGTAAGATTAAATCAGCCAGTGAACATGAAAGAATTATGTAAATTAAAAGATGACACATAATAAAATTATGACTTCACTGAAAACATTCTTAACTGCTACTATAATCTCTCTTAATCTGTAAGAATAATCCCAGCTCTTACAGAGAGCGTACAAAATAATAAACTTTTTCGAGTTTTGCTTCCTTCTTCCCTCCCATCCATACTGATTTTAGCCCATACTGAATTTGGCTCTGAAAAGAGCCCATGTGCTGCCAGCTGGGGCTGTAGCAATCACTCCCAAAAGCCAAGTGCCTTTTCTAATAAATGGAGCCCTTACTGTCAACATGTCATTTATTATGTTAAGTAAACAGACCTACTGTGACCTAAGTATGGTTACAAAAAGTATTCCATTAAAGCTCCTTAGAAAAAACCCTTACTTGACCTAAACTAAGATGATAGTCATGGCCATGGCTTAATGTTTGCTGATCCAAAATGACATTTAAAAAATGCACGCAGATTTGGGCCCTGAAAATGTCATGTATCCTAACCCATTATAAACATTTGTAAAATGTATGGGTAGCTAGGGGAATCCCCTCCCCTTCACAACTCTTGTGCAAGGAGAGAGAAAGGGCATGTGTTAGCCACCTCTATTATCTATTCATTCAATCACACTTAAAGAGTGTTCTTTGGTCTTTCTAGTTAAGCTTCTACTAGGCGAGAAGCCAGTAAGTGGGATCAAGCCACATGCCCCCTATAAGGATATTAGCTGATTGAGTAGCTCTGAGTCAGCTAGGGGAAATGACAGTCTGCCAGGATGGAAGGCATGCATGTCACAAACTTTGAGGTCGCTGTGAAAGACTCCAAGGGCATCATTGTTGAATCGAGCATCCTGGATTCTCAGTGTGTGAAACAAAGGAAAACTTGCATTTTGTGTTTGGTGCTTCTATTCCAATTAGTAGTCCTCCAGCCTCTCTTTAACCTTTCTTTCAAGGAAATCTTATCATTGACCAAAAGAAAACTGCGCTCTGTCTTCCCATTTGGAGAGGAGCCCTTGCTCTTGTTACTGAGCTCTTGGCTTATTCAAGAGCACGCTTGGTCATCCCTGGGAATTCAGACATAGATCACCCATTAGCGGGTGATTGCTTTTCTAAGTCTTGACAGGTCCCCTCCTGAAAGGCCCTCTCAGGGAGACCTTCAGACGTTTAGGTGAAGTCCCCAAAGTCTAAAGAAGAGGCAAAAAACACATGCCTCTTTAGGCCAGGAGGTAATTTTTTGAGTCTGGGACAGTTGGTAAGTTCTGTGGAATACTGACATATTGTGCAACCATGTTCCTCTTAGATTTGGATAATACCTCTGGCAGCCACAGAGTCTTAGACTTTCCAACTAGAGTTTGCCAAAAGTCTAGTGCTAAAACAGAAACCTAGCATTCTCCTCCTCTGAATGAGGCATATTCTTTTCCAGCTAGTAATTACTTACTCTTAAAACACTACAAGTGGAATATTTAGATGCAAAACTTGGTTAACAGACAAGTAAAGAAAGAAAGAAAAAGAAAAATTGAGGAAAGAGATTTTGTGTATTGTCCTGAACTGGACACTCTTATTTCCTGGAGAATCTATGTGTAATAATCATGAAAAGTGACACTGCAATTTCAAAGGAAATATTTATTCATCTGTTAGAGTAGTACTGATTTTAGCTTCTGCAGATGTTTATTTTCCACTACTGGTGTGCAACAAATGAAGAGGAGCAAAACAAGGGGAACATAAGCTAATGAGGGGTGCTGTTAAATAATTTTTTAAATCCCAGTTTCCACTTGTGATCAAGGGAACACATCACAAAAACTGTCCCTCTCTCTATCATGGATACAATTATATTTGGTTATGGATTTGGGTATATTCCAGTTAATACTACTAAGAATCAAGCAAGCTGCAAATAAATACTCTTATTAAATACTTAATTGTGGCTATTCTACAAAGGAGCGTTTTATGTTGAAAATATTTTAATAAGTGTGTAATAAAAATTTGAGAGTCTTCTTTGAATCTACAGTAATGGCAGTCCTCTGTTTTCAAAATGTAAATTTGCAAAGATCCCTGCTCCTATTCATTGAGATGGTAAACTCTGTTTACTTGTTGGAATCCTTTGACTTACTCATTCCCATTTTTAATCAATTTATTTGTTTGCTTCATTACAGAATGCTTCTCTAGTCCAAGCTATGTGAGGATATTTTTCATCATTTTCATAGTTACATTCTTGATTGGGTTGCTTAAAGTCCTTATCATTAGACAAGTGATATTACAATGGAATAGTAATAAAATGAAGTCCTCAGCAGATTACAGGGTGTCGGCCTCAAAAAAGGTCAGTGAATTCTAAAAAAAGAATTACTATCAGTATGTCATTGTCTACTTCCAATATTTCGGTCCTTAATTAATGCTAATATTTCTTCTCCATTAAGGACAAGTCAATTCTGCAAAGTGTTTGCACAAGAGCAGTAACCTACCGACGTGAGAAGCCTGAAGAAATAAAAATGGATATCAGCAAATTAAATGCTCATGAAACTTTCAGGTGCAACTACTAAAAAGATTTTTTAAAAAGTACTTTATGGGAAACTGGATTTTTAATAATTGCTCCTAAAATTATAGTTTTAGAAGTCACAGGAGGAGACAAATTGTTCTAGATCATGCTAGTTGCTGGTTTTCACTGGAATGGAGACTGACAAGCATCCTCATCATCATGTGACTCACATCGCTGCTGACTTTTTCAGAGAAAAAAATGTGTCTTACTACTGTTTGAGACTAGTGTCATTGTAGCACTTTACTGTAATATATAACTTATTTAGATCAGCATAGAATGTAGATCATCTGAAGAGCACTGATTACACTTTACAGGTACCTGGCCATTCCTAAGCTTCCCAGAGAGAAGCAATGGCATTGTGTCACTGCAAGGGTACAGTAATCCCTGCATGGAACATGCAAATGAAAAATAATAAGGCATTTATTCTAATGTTGCCAAACACTTCAACATTTGACAGTGAATCTACAAGAATAGCTAGATGAGTAAATGATTAGTGTTTCACTCAAGAGGTGAACAGATAAAACATTAATCTTGAGGGTTATTGCTTTTGAAACTAGTTTTATGCATATGTGTGTTTGTTTTCTTCTTTTTACAAGATGGATACTAATTCCAACATTCTCTCCTCTTTGCCTTTATGGTTTGGTTTTCTTTCTTACAGGATAAGTTTATATAAGTCACAGATGACTGGATTAAATAAGTGCTAAGTTACTACTGCCATAAAAACTTAATAATACAATGTCACTTTATTAGAATACTGGTTTTAAAAGCTGAATGTTTAATAAGGGAGACTGTAAAGTAATATCAAAATTTGAACAGCTTTGTTGTTTGAAGATGTGGAGTCTTATATCTTCTTACCTGGTTAACTGGACAGACTATTTCACCATTTCATTTGTCTAATCATCAGGTTAAAATTCAGAAGATATTTAGAAACTCTGCCTTGTCAAGCAAAGTGCCACAATTTTGACTGAGCTTTCTCAGATATTTACTCTAAGTAGATATTAGCATTTTTAAATTAAAAGTTATATTAGGCTATATAAAATAGTATCTCCTCAACTCCACTGACTAGAATTTTAAAAGTATGCAATTGGCAGAAGATAAACAGTATCTAAGAAATAAGCTAATTCATCATTTTAGTTAGTCAGGGAATCAAGTTTAAGTGATGTCTCAAAAACCATCCCAGTGATTAAGTGGCAGCATTTGAAGACAATTTCTATCTTACTGCCAGGCTAGTGTTCATTGCACAATATCATGCTACCTCTTGAGTCTTTAGAATATCCAATTGGCAAGTGTTTTTAAATGTGATTTACTGAAGTCTTAAGTATATGAGCATGAGAAAATTGCAAAGCAAAGCTGAAAGAGTCATTCAGACTGAATTGGCCATGACTAGTTGCAATCTTTCCTGCCAATCAACTTCCAAGAGTTAACTACAGGTGTGAAATCCATTCATGCCTTAGCCTGTGTGAACAGCACCCCCTAAAATTGTGCGGTGCTCACCCCGAGATTGATACAGAGGCTATGAGTTTTTATCTTCCCCAATGGAAACTTCTTCACAATTACCACAGCCCTACAGATTTATTCTCATTTTACTGGCTAGAAGTCCAGTAGTCAGAGCTTTGCCTATGACAACAATGTCTTTTTATAATTAACATCCCAAATGGCACTTGAGTTAATCAAAGTGCTAGATATTTGCATTTCAATGAAGACTAAAGTCTGCACTCCACATTCTACCCAAAAGAGTATTTTAATACATAAGTTGCTCTGGAGCTAACAAATAGAGCAACTCCATTAGCTGTCCCCATAGCCAAGCAATTATGACTCTAAGTTGAACTGTATTTCCTTCCCCAAATGAGAGATTGGGGACACTGACATAAGTCAGTACTGTGACTCACTTGTTTAAGATACCCTTGACCACCAAGGATAACGTAAAAATCACATTTTCCAGTTTGTCTGTCACATGTAGCATCCTTTTTAAAAGGAAAATAAATTGATACCTGACAGTCCCAAAAGGAAAAAGTGGAAAAATTCCATTTATTAAAATGCTGACAATTTAAAAATGAACATTACGATGTTCATAAAGTAATTTCCATGTGGAATGAATTATCCAAAAGAGCAAAATAAATTGAAACCCTGAAAGTCCAGAGTTTATATTTTTACACTCTCACTAGTTTGCACTAATTTATAACGAACTGAACTGAAGCTGTTACCGTAGTGTGAGACAAACTTCCTGATAGGCCGATCAAAGCTAGATGATGACTGTTATGTGCTTTCTTTCTTTTTTTCCACTTAATGATCTAATTCTTAAAGGTTTTAGAGCTTACATTTTACTTGAATAATTGGTATGTTCCTGTATAATGGTTTGTGAGAAGAGAATTAATATTTGACTAATTAGAATTAATTAAAAGGTAAGGGAAAACAGGGTATTCTTAGATTAAATAATATTTGTAAATAGAGCCTATTTTCAATATGACCACAGGAGCCTTTTAAGATTTACTGATATCAAACACAAGTAATGACATTTTTAATGGTTAACAAAGTTAGGAACTTGAACACTTTTGGTACGACAGCTTTTCTGTGCCCTAAATGACTTACATTTAAATTACATGTGCCATGTAATGACTTAGCAATGTGCAAGACATAACACTACAATATAACTGTATGCATTTGATTTCTCTGGGGACATGTTTACACTGCAGTGTACATGGGTTTTTAAACATTTGATATCTTCTTCAAAATTTGTTAACATTTAGGAAGTCATACATATTCTCTGCAAGACTCAGAAATTCACTAGAAATCTGATTATGTCCTAAATGTTCAAAGCAGCTTTAGTTAATAAAGATTTTAAAAATTAAAATAAACAAAATATATTTTTTGTCTTCAGGCAAATTTTTAAAAAATCATTATTAAAATTACTGCATGCATCAGATGTAATCCTTCACTAAAGAATAAATTCCAATGTAATACATTAAACAATAAAGAACTTAAATTAAAGAAAAAGAATAAATTCCAAATATGTCTTAATATTTCCTAATCTCCATTGAAGATATTCTTATGGCATCCTTGAGACACTGAAATATTCTTATGAGGGACTATGAAAATTTTTCTCTATAGAATTATTTACTCTGGGTACCTGATATAGCAAATTAGATTCAGTGGCTTTTACTTCCTTTCCTTACTCCTATTTTTTTTCCACTCAGTTTTCTAAGGGATTGCCCTCAAACTCATTAAGTCCAATTATTAAAAATAATCAAATGGAATGGAATAATGTTTATTTCCAAACACCTCTTAATAATTTTAAAACTCATTAGAATCTATGTACCTGAATAAAGACAGATCCATTGAAAATTAAGAATTTTAAGTTCTCACAACTGTTAGAGATTCGGTTTTAAAGGATTTGAGACCTTTATTTTAATAAAAGTTTCAAGAGAAATATAACTACTTGGGAGTTCAAGCATGTGCATAATGTATTCTGTTTTATTTGCTCTAAACATTTAATTTATGACTGTCTTTATCAATATATACTGACCTTAAGAACTCCATTTCATGCAATGCAAATTGAAATATATCACCTTTCAAAGAAATATAGAATTAGCTTTCAGGTCATTTCCCTTCTCTTTTATAATTCCTCTATGGAAAATTTACTATGGGTAACTGATTATACACATTCATATTTCATTGATTCTGACACATCCGCTTTTTCAGTATAACATCTCTGAAATTGTGATGTATCTTGCAATTGTTGGCATGTTAAATGCAGTGTTGAAAGTTGTGCTTGAATAAATAGTACACTAATTAATTTTTAACTACATGTTCATGGGTATAGGGACATTGCTTTCTTACAAACATTTGAAAATTAATTTATGATGGCATATGAGCCAGTTTTCAGTACAACTGAATCACATACAACTAAGCATGGATCCAAACTGTCTGATTATGAGCTCACATCCTGCAGACCTTTAGGTTATTAAAGCTTTTTAACCTCCTCTTTATGCCTGTGGCTATGATTTCTGCAAACCCTGGTTTAACTGATAAGAATGAGTGGGTTTCTCCTAGTCTTGTTAATAATTTTTTATTCTTTCTATCCTTTGTAATGAATACTTCTATATGATCATCTCTCTGTTAAACAAAAGTAAGTGGGAGAATATTACATGTAAACATCATAATTACATTTTATAGCATCTTGCATATGTTACAGCAGTGACAGGAGAAAAATATGATACAACCAATCAGTGCTGTTGGAGAAAAAAATAACTTTCTCTTTGAGTCCTTCTACATTTTTATTCTTCTTTAACATTTCCCTTCTTTTGAGTGATTTTTTTTCCTTTGGCTCTGATAAATTTACCTTCAAGCCCATGTAATGACTGTCATAAAAATGTTATTAAATTATTTGAATTATATGAAACAGTTGTTCAGCTATCTGGGCAGATGTTAATAAAATACCTGAGAGTAACAACACTACTCTTTTATCTACCTGAAATACTTTCCTACATAAAATGTATCTTTTAAGCTAACTCTTTTAATCAGGTTTGAACCTCTACAATCTAATTTCAGTTTAAAATTATTTAACCCAACAATTAAACACACACACACACACACACACACACACACACACACACTGCGGTTACCAAGGATGGAAACTGTGATTTGTCTAAAGAACTTCCATTAACTTTATATTATACCATAGTTAAATGTGATTTTGATAAGAATGCCACACAATGATAAATAGGGTAAATTTTATTAAGGATATTGAATATCAAATACTTTCATTCTAAATTATAGGAAGATACAAATTTGCACATATTAATATAGAAATTCATTTTTGGATATTTAACATAACTAGAACTATTTTACATTTAATAGCTACTTCATTTTTAAACCTCTGCAAAGAAAATGTAGAAATGTTTTTAAATTATCAATGATATAACCTTATTTGTTTCATTTAATTAATGTTGCCTTTGTAAAAAATTTTTAACATAGAGTATATTTTTAAATTAAAATATTTAAATATAAAATAGGTGTAAGAAACATTCTCATTAAGCAAGTTTCTTATTATTTCTGGCTTTGAATTATACATAAAATTAAATCTCCTTAAAGGACAGAGGATTGGGGAATATGACAATTTCATATAATATACTATGAAGCTGTTCATATAATTCTGATTGACTACTAACTGCTGTTTTATGTATTTATTAAAGAGCTGACACTGTAGTTGTAAGATGTCTATTTTTCTAACAGAGCTTATAATAGTTATGACAAGGCATTTAATTAATGCATCATTCTGTTTAAACGTAGATGTTAATTACTATAAAATTTTATGTTTTAAAATAAAAATCTAAAAACCTAAGAATTTTCCTTTATTTACCATTGTGTCCTACATAACCCTCACAACTACCAGACCACAGCACATTGTCACAAAAGGAAATGTAATAACATTCATATGTTGTCATTGGTAGAGGACATTACATAATTCCAAAAACTACTACTTCTAGAAAACTGTAGGGCCAATGACATAGGGTGGAGACCATCCTAATTGCTCTACTTACCTTTTGATTGCTGCCCAATGATGGAAGCAGAATGACTACCCTAATTACAAAGAACCGAAAAAGTAGCACCTTAATATAAATATGAATGTTCACAAACTTCAATCGCACATTCTCTAGAGTCATGTTTAAACTACTGAAATTTATAAAATGCCCCTGCGTTGTGATTTTTTTAGATTTCATGTAGAGAATGTAGTAAAGCAGATGAGGGGACACATTAAAAGCTAAATAAGACATGTAGACAGAGTCCCTGTCCTTTAAAAGTTTTAACACTTTGAAGGAAAAGGTATGTGTAGCAAATCTATATATATATGGGATTGGGCTAGAGAGATCAAAGGGAAATTATCAGGAGGTCTCACAACTCAGAAGTGTGAGTTACAGTCTTTTGGGATCAGAATCCTGATCTCATTATGAATATTGTTTGGCCCCAATCTTCCCTTCCTTGTTTAGTAATGAGACCCACCTGCCTGAGTTTCAGTAGAGCACATAGCTGACTTAACTATTCAGACTCCTTTGCAGCTAAATGTGATTACAGGACTAAATGTCAGTCAGTAATATGGGAGAGGAAATGATATGTACAACCCCAGATCACAACAACTTTTTTGTTGTCTGGATCAATTAAAGCAGCTACCTTAGCAAAGGAAGCCATGTGCTGAAATTGTCAGAGCTTCCCCTTCAGTCATCAAATGTTCACCTCAAGACATCCCTGGTAGGAAAACAATTTCTTTTTAGCTAAACCACTGCACTCGATGCTATATCAGATAATCTGTGTTATTCAAAAAATTGTCTCACTGAATCCTTAGCAATACTAAATTCTATTTTCCACAAATTTTCAAATAAGAAAAACAAGGCACAGAGAAGTTAGTGACCTTGTATAAATGCACACAGCCGGCAAGTGGCCAAGATCTGTTTTATTCTCCATAAATGAGTGATCCTATGTTATGAAATAATAGATTTTACTAGTTTAACTAGTTTTAGTAGTTTAACTATGTCCCTATTCCACGCCCCCAAAAATGTGTAATAAAGTATGTGTACAAATACTACATAGGAAAAAGTAAACAGACCTTTAGAATATGAAAAACAAAAAGCTAAGCATACTCAGATGCTTGAGTTAGACTGCAGCAGGGTCCATGAAGACAAATTTGACTTACAGGCCTTGGAAGAAAGGTGAGTGTGGACATGCTAAAATTCCATGTCAAGAATTTAAACAATCATTTTGCTAGGTGGATATATCCCAAACATGAATGTGCCATAATCATAGCTCTTAAATTCATTGAGAAAAAGAATGAGTAGGATATGATACCAAGTATAAAATATTGGTTAAGAACTTCAGCATTTAACAAGAGATGGTTAAATAAACTTTTTTGAATGGGAGAGATTCACATATTTATAATGGAAAATGAACAAATGTAGACAGAAATGTTTATGTTAGGAAAGTTTGGATTGGTCTAAAGTACAATAGGAGAACATTTCAAATTGTGACAAAGAGGAGTCGGTCAAATGAGCTTGGAGAATTTTCATGAAGTAAATATCTAGACAAAAGAACAAAGAGAGGGAATATGAGCTACAGCTGCAAGAAGATGTGAGAGAATTTAGGGGCTGGCTAGATATAGGTGATGAAGAAAGAAGTTAGTCAAAGGAAATTCTAATGCCAACTCTGAAAGTCACTATAGACATCTATCCAAATTGGATAAAATTCCCAACCTGGTCTCGCACACCACATTGTTCTTGCCAATCCATGACTATTAGACTAAATTCTAACTTCATCAAAACATTTGGCCAGACAAAACTAAAGCTGTAAATTTTTAAACTATGTCAATTACTATGCTTTCGATATTATGAAAATAAACCCATCTAAAAAAGATATACAGTAACTTTTTATCTATGAATATCCTATCTAATAAAGATGGGATATGCTAATTGACCCTCACACCATTGCAAAGATGGCAGTGCCCACAGCCAATAAGGAGGGAATATGCTAATTGACTGCCACGCCCTCAAAGATGGTGGCACCCACAGCCACAAGATGGCAGCGCCCAGTCCCCTCAGCCCCACCGAGGCAGCAGGCACACTCCTGCTTCCGGAGTCCCCCAGTCCCCTCAGCCCAACCGAGGCAGCAGGCACACTCCTGCTTCCAGAGTCCCCCAGTCCCCTCAGCCTCCCAGCCGCCCAGGGCCAGCGCGAGGCACAGGCAAGCCTCAGATGGCGGCTGCCCAGACGCCCAGGGCCGCCGGAGGCTCAGGTAACCAAAGCCGGCTGAGGCTTTTGCTGCTGGCAGTGGCAGCAGCAGAGGTGTGATGGGGGCGTCGCCTTCCCCTGATCGCCGGGTTGCCTCCCACCCCTGAAGGCTCCCGGACTGCGAGAGAGGGCAGCCTGGGCTGAGAGACCCCCACTCCAGTGCATGAATTTTCATGCACCAGGCTTCTAGTTTTTATCATAATTAGCAGCAGTGGTGGGCTGATTGCAAAAAAACAAGTGTAACCTTGGCTTTCAACTTGGTAATATTTTAGTATTCTTTTGGACTGGTATATTATTTAGTCCTTAGATCCTAATACTGTTTAGACTTCTTCCAATGAATTACCTTTAGGTCTAAAAATATTTTCAGACTATAGTGATGAAAGGGGAATTCTTTCTTTATTGGGCTTTGTCATTCTCCGTACTGTTTTAACATTGTTATGACTATAAAATATATTCTAACCATCACTAAAGTCATGAGAGATAATTAACCACTTAAGAAAATCTTAATTTACCATTACCAACAATTTTTATACATTTTCCCCTATTAAATTTGAGATGTTATGGTTTTCAAAGAGTAGTCCCCAGAACAGAGGCATCAGTGTCACATGAAAATTTGGTAGAAATGTAGACTTTTGGTTTCTGCTCCAAATCTTCTGAATCAGAAACTCTGAGAATGGGGTCTAGTGATCTGTGTTTTAACAAACTCTCTAAGTAATTATAATACCTGCCATAGTTTGAGAGCCATTTCCATGAAGAGTGAAAACTAGCATCAGGAGACCATAGTTATAGATTATACTTACCAGTGCACCTAGGCCAATACATGATACTCAATACCCAGTACTCAATTAAGTAAGTGTTGAGTCAGTCAAAGATGTTTTCTTTTCTATGAGCCCCTCAGACATGTCCTTGAGAAAATATTATGCTCAAAATGTTTGTATTTTTATAGTTAAAATCAAAGTAATAAAATCATTCTCTGCATGTCATTTTAAAAAATAAGGTGGACTTCAATTACTTTTTATAACAAGACACATCTCATATGCAGAGTCTTACATTAAATACCCTTATCATCCACAGCCAGGTTTCATTTTTCTGTCACAAAAACCCTCTCTATTCTTAGCAAAGGCTAAATGCATATAGACTGTATGTGTAAGAAACAGCTGGAGGATATCCATTACTGCCCTAAATAATAGAGAAATTCCTAACGTGGTTTGTGGAGTTCTATCTTAGAGGACTAAATCTTTCAATTTCTCATCTCCACCAAAGTATACAACTTCTCTCCTTCCTCCCTCAAAGACACTGAAAATTGTCTAGGTCTGGCCCTGGTTAGGTGGCTCAGCTGGTTGGAGCGCAATCCCATATACCAAAAGTTGTGGGTTTGATTCCCAGTCAGGTTATGTACCTAAGTTGTGGGTTCCATCCCAGTGTACAGTTTGGTTTTTATGATGTTTCTCTCTCTCTCTCTCTCTCCCTTTCCTCTCTAAAATTAATAACAAAAACTGTCTGGGTCTATTGGTTGTCTACAGGGAACACAAATGGACAGTCACACCCAGGACAGCTGGAAACAGCATCGCTTCCTTCCACTTCTTGGTCCCTGTAGTAGAAAATCCTTCTGCTCTGTCACATTTTGAGGAATCACATTTGTTTACTCTTTTTCTCTCATATCTAAAAC